CTAGTTAATTGAATTTTGTAAAGATTGTTTGAACGATCAGCATTTCGTTTGCTTTTTTGTTGATGCTTTAGTTATGGTGATGTTTGCGTGAACATGCCTGAGGTTTGGCTTAACCAATGAAGTTGCTGAACCCTTTTAGAAGATAATGTTTTAATTGCATGCGTTGAAAAATAAATATAATTGCCTCTTCCAAGTCATTTAACTTTTGCAATCTACATTTCACCTGTTCAACAGATCAAGTCAGCTTAGGTGTCTTCGACTTCGGGGCTGGTATCGAATATCAGGTGACGGTTTGAGTGAAGCAGCTAAAATATTTCCCCTGTTGGAAGAACTGCACTTTGTCTTTGTAAGGAATTGTAACGATCGTATTGAAGCTATTGGTCGTTCCTGCCCTAAGTTGAGGTCATTTACACTTAGTGAGTCAAGAGTACAAATATCCACAACTCGTTTTTTTTATGCCTCAACTACTAAAGGCATAAGCCTCATTGTGCCCAGTACTATTTTCTACCTCCTCAATTGAGGCGCACCACAATCATGCCTTTATAAATAACGGGAGCATGCACATTTGTATTGGAAGGGTAGTTAATTTGCTATATTAGTTTACTGCAAATGAGGTCTAATTATTTCAGTCCAATCCTCCTCTTGTCATTTCCAAAGTTTGATCTGATATTCAAACTCCGTCAAGAAGCACATTTGATTGATGATATGTGCTTATTATTAGCGTACCAAAATACCAATTGATAAAAATGAAAAGTACAGAAAAGAAAAATGTGTGGTGGTGACTTGTAATGAAGTTTTTCTTTATATCTTGTGTCATTTCAGTAACATTTTACAATGGCTGGTTGGCAACTAGTTTTCTAGCTCTTAATGGTCCATTTATGAGACTAGCCAATGCAATATGCATCTATTGAAATTTTAGGGAATTTTCTCTCTGAAAGAGATGCAATGCTTCTCTAGCTATTGATTATACAAATTTCCGAAGAATAATCAGACAAAACGCTTGCATGGAGAGCACATTCCTTATAGATGGAAGACTTGTGTCTTTGCATAAACATCTTCATCTGCTCATCATATTAAGAGTGTGTTTGGGGGAAAAATTGATTATTGAATAGTGATATGATGGGAAATGTGTGGTTGAAAAAGAAGAAAAAAGTATTGATGTGATGGAAAATATTATATTATTTTAGAATGCGTGGTTGAAAATGAGAATTGATTTACTGTAGNGTTTGGGGGAAAAATTGATTATTGAATAGTGATATGATGGGAAATGTGTGGTTGAAAAAGAAGAAAATATTATTGATGTGATGGAAAATATTATTTTATTGAAGAATATGTGGTTGAAAATGAGAATTGACTTACTGTAGAAAATTAGAATCTATACCAAACAGACCCTAAATAAACATGTAATGAGTATTGCTTCCACTTGTGAACTGCTATATTGATTAATTTTAGAAGAAGTGCTGAAAAGATTCCTGTAGGAACTATTTATAGTTATATATAATGCTGTGGCCAAAGGCACATATGGTGTTGATTTTGGCTCCGTGGTGTAATTCGGTATATATAGCTGGAATTGTTTTGGGGTGGGAAATTTTAATGATTGAAGAATTGTAAGATATATTTGAATGAATTTATTAGAACACGATTTATTTGGCAAATTAAATGTTTTGATTGATTGTGAATTAATCCTGCGTATGTATTTATCTTGGTTGGTTTTGAACCTAGATGTACGCTGTATGATTCTTGAGGGGTTTCCTCCTATTTCGCAGTTATGCATATTTTAGGTTTTTTTATGGATATCGAAAAAGAGTGTCGTTGTACTTCTAATGTGTGCTGAACATTCTTAGTTTGATATTTTTCACTTGGAAAGGAAAACCCATTTTTGTGAACACAATGTTGCAAATGTTGGCATCCATTTCCTGTTGACATGTTTTGTACGTTATCAGATCATTTTCGATATTTAGTCACCTTGACTTGAACTGTATATTCCACAGTTGAGAAAGAATGGGAGTAATGTGAGTGCATTATGCTAGTTAATTGAATTTTGTAAAGATTGTTTGAACTGTCAGCATTTCATTCATTTTTTTCTTGATGCTTTAGTTTTGGTGATGTTTGCGTGAAGATGCCTGAGATAACCTTTGGCATAACCAAAGAAGTTGCTGAACCCTTTTAGAAGATTATGTATTAATCACATGCATTGAAAAATAAATATAATTGACTTTGCAAATTCATTTAACTTTTGCAATCTAAATTTCACCTGTTCAACAGATCAAGTCAGCTTAGGTGTCTTCGACTTGGGGGTTGCTATGGAGTATCAGGTGACGGCTTGAGTGAAGCAGCTAAAAGATTTCCCCTGTTGGAAGAACTGCACTTTGTCTTCGTAAAGAATTGTAACGACGGTATTGAAGCTACTGGTCATTCCTGCCCTAAGTTGAGGTCATTTACACTTAGTGAGTCAGGGTACAAATATCCACAACTCGTTTGTAATGACGATGCACTAGCAATTGCAAAAAGCATGCCGGGTTTGCACCACCTTGAACTTTTGGGAAATAATATGACAAATGAGGGCCTGCAAGCCATTCTTGATGGTTGTCCACTCCTTGAATCGCTTGACATTCGGAAATGTTTTAATCTTGATCTAAGTGGGGATCTGGGGAATAGAATTGCTCAAAAGATCAAAGATTTCAAGTGTCCTGAGGACTCCATGGAAGATTGCGAGTGGAATACTGAAATTTTTGATTGTGAAGAATACGACGAAGAGGACTACTACTCATCTGAGATTTCAGTCTTTTCTCATGTTGATTATTATGATGAATATGATGACGTTGACACATATATCTATTTTGACTGAGGTTGGAACCAATTTGGGGTAAGGAAACATTTCTGATATGTTTGTTATGCAATATTAAATAGTACCGGGTGGTATAATCTGAAAAATCTTCGTGTTTTTTTTTTCTTTGGTTCTGTCTAATACAAAGTAATAAGCATGCCCCTAGCATGAACTTTCCAGTATAACTGCATTATTAACTTGCAACTAGTCATTATAGCTGGTTTGAGTTGGTGAAATTCGTTCGTTATTTATTGGCTGACTTGTAATACTTGTAATAAATTTGACCTACTAATAAGTAATTCAATTAATTAATTGTTCAATACTTGTCAATTAATTAATAAGTATATTGGATTTTTTTAGTTCTTCTTATGTGTGTGATCCATTAAGTTTCCGATCACGTATCTAACGATGTAAATTATTATTTTGATATAATCAAAACAAAATAAATTAAAATACCATTTTAATTTATCATTAATTCACATTCTTCGTCTCAAATTGACACCTAGCAACATGTAAGAGCAACACACATAATGAGAAATGTCCCGTGATGTGACAAAATCAAATTTGTTAGTTTACTGTAAAATTATAATCCATTCGTCAATATAATCTAATCAATTACGAGATATGAAGTGTGTCAATCCACGGACTTTATTATTTAATTTATTAGAATATTAACTCAATTAAATAATAAATTTACCATAAATAAAATGCATCGATTATATATTAAAAGTGTTTATGTCCAAAATTGATTGGATCTAGAGTATAACACTTATAAACCCCTTCTTGCATTAGATCCAATTATATATATCTTATACTATAAGAGTCTATATGACGATCATCTTTATGCTGTGACAACTCTTTGTCAGTAGATCTGCAATATTATCAATTTTGGAAACTCGTTCTTCTTTACGTCATTTATTTGTATTATCTTTTTTATGAGATGGTACCATTTTAACACCCGTTTGGATTATTGATGAGACCTTAGTTCCTTCTCTTGTGCGATGACTCAATTGTTATCACAATACAGAGGTATGGGATCAACAATGTTAGAAATTACTCCAAATTCATTAATGAACTTCTTGATCTAGATCGCAATTCTTTGCTACTTCTGAAGCAATGGTATATTAGGCTTTTGCTATTGGATCAACGGGTTGCTCCATGTTTGGAACCTTTTCAATTAATCGCTCAATTATTAAAAGTAAACATATATTTAGATTGAGGCATGCTATCTTCTAGTCCCATTGGAAGTTAGCATTAGAGTATCTTTGAACTTTCAGTTCATTTTCTACATATAAAATTTATTAAAATTTTATCCATGTAGATTGGGATATGTCAAGCAATCTTCTAGATTTATCTCTA